ACCGTATAGATATGTAGTTTGTGTAGGTACAGACCGTGTAGATATGGAGTTTGTGTAGGTACAGACCGTGTAGATATGTGGTTTGTGTAGATAAAGACCGTAAAGATATGTAGATTGTGTAGGTACAGACCGTGTATATATGTAGTTTGTGTAGATACAGACCGTATAGATATGTAGTTTGTGTAGGTACAAACCTTATAGATATGTAGTTTGTGTAGGTACAGACCGTGTAAATATGGAGTTTGTGTAAGTACAGACCGTGTAGATATGTAGTTTGTGTGATACAGACCGTATAGATATGTAGTTTGTGTAGATGCAGACCGTGTAGATATGTAGTTTGTGTAGTTACAGGCCGTGTAGATATGTAGATTGTGTAGATACAGACCGTATAGATATGTAGTTTGTGTAGATGCAGACCGTGTAGATATGTAGTTTGTGTAGATACAGACCGTATAGGTATGTAGTTTGTGTAGGTACAAACCTTATAGATATGTAGGTTGTGTAGGTACAGACCGTGTAGATATGTAGTTTGTGTAGGTATAGACCGTGTAGATATGTAAATTGTGTCGGTACAGACCGTGTAGATATGTAGTTTGTGTAGTTACAGACCGTTTAGATATCTAGATTGTGTAGATACAGACCGTGTAGATATGTAGATTGTGTAGGTACAGACCGTGTAGATATGTAGTTTGTGTAGATACAGACCGTATAGATATGTAGTTTGTGTAGGTACAGACCGTGTAGATATGTAGATTGTGTAGATACAGACCGTATAGATATGTAGTTTGTGTAGGAACAGACCGTATAGATATGTAGTTTGTGTAGGTACAAACCGTGTAAATATGTAGTTTGTGTAGGTACAGACCGTGTAGATATGCAGTTTGTGTAAGTACAGACCGTATAGATATGTTGTTTGTGTAGGTACAGACCGTGTAGATATTCAGTTTGTGTAAGTACAGACCGTATAGATATGTAGATTGTGTAGATGCAGACCGTGTAGATATGTAGTGTGTGTAGGTACAGACCGTGTAGATATGTAGTTTGTTCAGGTACAGTTCTTGTAGATATGTAGTTTGTGTGATACAGACCGTGTAGATATGTAGTTTGTGTAGGAACAGACCGTATAGATATGTAGTTTGTGCAGGTACAAACCGTGTAAATATGTAGTTTGTGTGGGTACAGACCGTGTAGATATGCAGTTTGTGTAAGTACAGACCGTATAGATAGGTTGTTTGTGTAGGTACAGACCGTGTAGATATGTAGTTTGTGTAGATGCAGACCGTGTAGATATGTAGTTTGTGTAGGTACAGACCGTATAGATATGTAGTTTGTGTAGATACAGATCGTATAGATATGTAGTTTGTGTAGGTACAAACCGTGTAGATATGTAGTTTGTGTAGAAACAGACCGTGTAGATATGTGTTTTGTGTAGGTACAGACCGTGTAGATATGTAGTTTATGTAGGTACAAACCGTGTAGATATGTAGTTTGTGTAGATACAGACCGTATAGATATGTAGTTTGTGTAGTAACACACCGTATAGATATGTAGTTTGTGTAGGTACAGACCGTGTAGATATGTAGTTTGTGTAGGTACAAACCGTGTATATATGCAGTTTGTGTAGATACAGACCGTGTAGATATGCTGTTTGTGTGGGTACAGACCGTATAGATATGTAGTTTGTGTAGATACAGACCGTGTAGATATGTGTTTTGTGTAGGTACAGACCGTAGAGATATGTAGTTTGTGTAGTAACACACCGTATAGATATGTAGTTTGTGTAGTAACACACCGTATAGATATGTAGTTTTTGTAGATACAGATCGTATAGATATGTAGTTTGTGTAGATGCAGACCGTGTAGATATGGAGTTTGTGTAGGTACAGACCGTGTAGATATGTAGTTTGTGTAGGTACAGACCGTGTAGATCATGTAGTTTGTTTAGAAACAGACCGTGTAGATATGTAGTTTGTGTAGGTACAAACCGTGTATATATGTCGTTTGTGTAGGTACAGACCGTTTAGATATGTAGTTTGTGTAGAAACAGACCGTGTAGATATGTAGTTTGTGTAGGTACAGACCGTATAGATATGTAGTTTGTGTAGGTACAGACCGTATAGATATATGTAGTTTGTGTAGGAACAGACCGTATTGATATGTAGTTTGTGTAGGTACAGACCGTGTAGATATGTAGTTTGTGTAGGTACAGACCGTGTAGATATGTAGTTTGTGTGATACAGACCGTATAGATATGTAGTTTGTGTAGGTACAGACCGTAGAGATATGTAGTTTGTGTAGGTATAGACCGTGTAGATATGTAGATTGTGTAGATACAGACCGTATAGATATGTAGTTTGTGTAGGTACAGACCGTGTAGATATGTAGTTTGTGTAGGAACAGACCGTATAGATACGTAGTTTGTGTAGGTACAGACCGTATAGAACTTGTTGTAAGATCCGGACCGCGTAGAAATGTAGTAAGACATCATAATATTTCTGATACATATCCTTTCCATGATATGATTAAAAGTCTTCTTTATATTCGTTTGCTGCGGTTATTGTTAATATATATTGATCAAAAACATGTATTTGTGTGTTAAAATATAGGTTAATTAACCTTGCGTTACAGTCACCTGACACTTATTCCCAGAGATACATGTAACTGACTGTGGTTGAAAACCTTTTGTCGATTTAATGGTTTCATGTAACAGCTTATTTGTGCAATCTTTTGTGAACTTAAAAGGTCTGATTAAATTATGATATGTCATGTACTGATTAATCATGCATGTACATTTCTATGATCGACTAAATACAGGTTGAAACGTAATCAAAGGATGACGTCCCACCGCTGGTGATTTCTGTTCACTGTTCCACAATACAGCCTAGGGTGGTCCTCCCACAAACTTACAAATGTTACGTTAATTTTCTTTGTTGCCAATATTTAAAAACCTTGGTATTTTTGCGTTCGTATTATGCTACCCGTGGGGTTTTTTCTGTATGATGTCCTACTCCATTGTAATAAAAGGACATCCAAAACCAGTTGTTGTTCGATGTGAATACGTAATACATCAGTGATCTACCCTACTCAGATCCCCCTTCTACAAGGTACATTGGTAAGCTTTGTGACTATAATAACTCCTGTCCACATTTTTCTGAGTAGCATTTTTTTTTTTCTTAATGCTTACACAGTGGATGAACATGTTATACGTTATTCATTGTACCACATGTAGTTAACTGATGATAATTCAATACAGTACATCTGAACAAATAATCGTCTTTCCAAAGCGTACTTTGGACTTACATATTGGGGTATTCACCTGTAAATTTCCACGTTCCCAAAGACTTCCTGTTTCCTTATAAGGAGTCGATTCTTTGAACAGTTCTGGTGTATGGATATCTTTAATAAGACTATTTGCTTATTTGAATAACAATAGATGGCGTCATATGTTTTNGGAGTCGATTCTTTGAACAGTTCTGGTGTATGGATATCTTTAATAAGACTATTTGCTTATTTGAATAACAATAGATGGCGTCATATGTTTTAAAGATATTTTCTCTAGCTATTAGACTACGACTGTTATTTATTTCAGATCACAGATGGTTTCTATTTTCTAATAAACATAGTTTTAGACGCCAACTTGAACGTGTTACATTTTTACCAGTGAAATATCGGAAATTATCAGTGTGATATAAACTTATATATTCACTTCGAATGTTACATATTCACTTGTGATGATATAAGATCCAGTATTGATTAAATACTCGCCATTAAAAATAGTATTTTGTATTTTGATTTTCTGTTCATTTGCAGATGAAGCGACGGTAGCATATGTGGTTGTTTTCGTACATCTTTGGTACAAACATCGGGTTATTAGCTGGACACCATTAATTATCCTCTATTTACCTCCATAATTGAAAAGGGGACTTTGTCACAAACTATCGTGTATATAGCATATATACATAAATCTATCTGCCTATCTACAGTTGGGCTGATGTTTCTTAGTTACTGTTAGTTTTATGGCGTCATCAACAATAATACAGTAAGCAATGCTAATGACGTTATGACATGACCAGATGAAGGTTGATCATATGGTTACCCTTTGGCTCATCTGGTAATTTTTTCCCTTTTACTTTTTTAAAAGTATTCCATTTACGTTTTGTATGGTATCCTTATAAAAGTACAAGCAATATATGTTATGTGACGTGAATATATAATGCATCATTAATCCCCCTACTCAAATTCTCCCTTCTCCTCCAATGTACTTTTAGTAAGCTCTGTGACTTTATTTACTCCCTTCAAATTATTATATGTTCCTACACGGTGGGTAAATATGCAATACAAATACACAGAAAAAAAGTCAATTCCAAAATCTAATAGTCATACAAGGAGTCATTTAACTGGTACCTTGTTATGTATTAGATTTCATCAATATGACTAGACTTGTTGGCACAACGCCATTTGGATTTCAGTACTGGAGTATTCATTGGAAATTCCTACGTACATGTAGCACTTACAATTTACGAGAATTCTTTGTTTCCTTATGTAGCATCGATTTTTTAATTTTTAATTTGTTTGTGCGAGTGTGTATTCTGTTTTATTTCAAAACGAATGACGCAAATGTTATATGCCTGAATAATTTCAAAATGTAACAAAATATTCTGTATATAACAGGTTATAACATGCATTGAAAGACAAAACAATCCGTATACTTGTATACATATTTACTTTTAACAAAGACGAAAAGTGACTGCTGGGCATGTCTTCTTTCTTTGGCGTCTTCAGGCCGGACTGGTGGTTATTAGCAAATGTAAGTTACATGACGTCATGAAAAGTTACGCTTTAAATAATCATAGTGACATAATCAATCAAAAATATGTGTGAAACCATTGACAACACAAGGGAAGAGTAAAAAAAAATGTACACTTAACACATCGTGAAAAGCTGCTCGGTTTAAGATGTTATCATTTGACCATTTTCATATCCTACTTCCATATCAACCCGAGACCTCCAAATAAAATAAAGGAGCTGGAGTCCCGAGGGCTGATAGCTGTCGAGGATGACACGGTAATAGGATGATATGAAAGTGATCAAATGTTAATCTTTCAATCATTAACTACACACCGTAAATGTTTTAGTACGTTATCGAAACTATTAAAAATAGCATTACAAACATGTAAAGGAAGTGATATATTGTCTGGAACGTGTTGAAACAAACTACAACAGGCGTTAAACTCTGTATAAAAATAGAAGCAAGATACATTTATATGTTCATGCATTTCCACCTTGACAAATGCAACATTGTTTACATATTAGACAAACGCACAAAATTTAAGAGCACTCATAAACTCCACAACCACACACTACAATAAGTCGACTCCAGTAAAAACATAATTTGAATCAATATTATACAGAAACTTTCTTAAATGGAACAAACACATCAAAGACATCACCTAAGATACAAACTCCCCACATAGGAGAGAAAATACATATGAAACTGTAGGCAGGCCAAAATTGGAATAATTCGCCTTTGCTACGTGCAATGTGGTATTTACTTAAGTATTCAGTATACCTAAGTAAATACAATAGTGCACGTATTACAAATTTGTATGCACATATTTCCAGATAAGAGCAGAAACAATTTTCATATTCTGCCATACTCGTGAAATACCAAATTCAAAAGTGTCCAATGTTCAAAAGTTTTTAGTCTTGCTCTGGTATCTAGCATGTCTATGAATCCGTGCTCACGGGTGCCAAAATACCATGACTATATGACACTTAACACATTACCATGACGTTGTTCGTGTTACACAAGTCGCTGTAGTCATTACAGACTTCATTAAAAGGGGACTTGTTTAGATTGGTGATAAAGGTACTCTTTGTAGACGTCAGGAACTCCGTGTCGGTACAGTTACTTACACTGGTTGCATTCGAATGTGTGAGCGCGTAAGCTGAAATACAAGGTAATACGGAGTAAGCTACATGCATACACATCACTTAAGGGACAAATAGAAAAGTACAATAAGTACTTCCTATATTCATTTTGAATGTGTCTCATTTTATCGCTCTCATTACGCGGTTTTCACTTTAAGGACGTGAAATTACTCTGATTTGACTTAGTTTTACATGAAAGATGATTTTGATGAAGCAGAATGCAAATGCCCTCCCGGAACATCTGGTCTTACTATCCCTGTTCGAATCTTTTACTAGTTTACAAAATTCCTGCTTTCATATAAAAGTAAGGAATGAGAATTTGAGTTGAATTCACTGTTCATCTTTATAAGCACATTTATAAACCTATACATTTACCACATACTGTGACATTGCTCACTTTTATGCCGAACTAACATGTAATTCGATAAAACGTCACAGTCAGTCATTTCGGAATCATAATACCGGGATACGAAATACTTAAAATATAACTTACATCTGCAGGTGAGAGAAGACCAGCTGCCAGGTGCCCAGGTACCTGACGCCCCACACACGTACCACTGGTCAGGGTTTACGGAGATGGGTAGAGAGTAGCCAATGTGACACACAACCCTACAGTACCGACCGAAATCTGTCCTCCAGCCGTTACAGACAACAACACCGTTCTCAGGCACAGGCATGTCCTCACATGGCGTCGCTACATTTGGAACAAGAAAAACGATCGGTAAAACCAGCTTGTATCAACCAGATCTAAATCATTTTATTTCCACGGCAAAACCAGAAGCTTTTTGAAGCACCAAAATCAATTGACAGAATTATTTTCATGAATATGACTGTTATTTTTTTTAAACATATGATTGTGCTCTTTGTTATCGTACACTGTAGCAGCTATTACGATAACAATATGATTTTCTTTCAATTGTTTGCAGGAGCTTGCAATCATGACATTAAGCACACTACTTACGCCTTATGTCAACTTGTATTGTACATTCTGCAGTCATCCCATTTGCTGCCTTAACTCCAGTGTACTGTATCACAAAATCTCCCCACGGAAAATCGTATTCTGGAGATGGATAATTTGTGGATCTGTGGATCTCATTGCCCATGGGATCGGAGAAGGTTGGTGCAGTCCAGTTGACAAAATGAAGCGGGGTAGTGGCATTGGCGCTGATGTCAAAATCACATCCTGTGATTACTGGAGGCTGTATATCTGAACATTTATACGTAATATATTTAAAAATGCAAATCTCTGAAATCCAGTTACAGTTGTTGCATATTATAAATATTTATAGACGTGATTGATTAATTAAGCAAATACGCATCACTTAAAAATACTTCTTACAGTCAATGTGAAACGCACCTTCATTTTGCGTGGACAATATATACCCATATATATGTACCTCCGTGTATTTGACTTTGAATCGGTTACCCAAACGCCTTTGTGTTGTAATCGTTATCCAGTGGTCTATTGATATATTGCCTGTTTCTGTGAGATACTAAAACTATCCAAACCTACCTTCAGCACAGGTTAAACCACTCCAGCCAGGTAGACAGTTACAGGTAAACATCTCTACACCATTAGTACACGTACCACCATTAGCGCACGGATTACTGGAGCACGTGTTGGAAACTGACAAATATACAGATTGACATTTAAATGTTGAAACATAACAATTGTCTTCAAAATTAATTCAGACCTTTCTATTTCTTTATTACACAATAACATATAATTTTATTTGTTACATTTGTAAATCTATTTATAATTATACGCATATATTGCTATACGTACATGCACATCTTGGCAATGTTCCACTCCATACCCCGGTCAGCTGACATGTCCTGGTCTGGGTACCGTCCACCAGGGTGTAATGTGTATTACATGAATATCCCACAGAGGCCCCGTACGTGTACAAACTTCCGGTCACCTGACCATTGTCGAGAGTCCCCGGGTGACCACAGTTGATTTCTTGATAATACATATTTGGCGTCGATAAAAGCTCAGAAGCATTTTCAGATATCTTACGCAATACCACAGGTGAATATACACCAGATAAATACATAACTGTAAGAGCAAATGATCTCGCATGGATGGTCAGTGGTATAAGAAAGTAGCTATAGATCCGTAATAGAAAATATATACATCGAAAAGCGTAACAATCACACAATAGCGATGACTGGCTTATATACAGGAATATCCGGAATAATTGTTCAAATGACATACATAAAATTTAGCGTGAATATTTTGAACAAACTAAGTACAGTTGTAACAAACTTAATCACAGTACTAGAAGCGATGTTCTCTATGGCTTGATAACAAAGTGACATATATTATTCGATCACTTAAGATAAAGAAAGTGATGACATAATAAGTCTGGCTTAGTTTTATTATTTCAGATATTTGCCGTATACTTTGTACATCGACAATCAGAGATGTCATACTTACGGTAGTTACAGCAATTCCCATAGAAACCCGCCACACAGTTACAGCGACTTCCGGTACTACTGCCGCCATTGTGGCATACCTCGTTACAACCAGAGTAGCTATAAGCAAGATCACTTGATGCACAGTCACTGAATTCAACACATCCAGTATTGAAGTATATATGCACCTGCCTCTCCCGTTGTCTCCGCCCAAAACATGAGCTATCGCAGTCAGACCATGCCATCCATGCGACCCAGGAACATTGGCAGTGTTCCCAAGTGGACGCGTATCCCCCAGATACAGCATGGTAAGGCAGCTGCCATTGTGTCAGTAGGACCAGGGATGTGGTGATTGACAACAGCATCTGTAACAATAAATAACACAATTATCACATACAGCCTCTAGACATTGCACAATCGGGCCTTAACGGTTGGTATCACGCACCTATTACTGTCTGGATGAACATAGAAATGTGAGAAGTGAAAATATAAAATAATTAGGTATATCATTGCGTCAGAAAACCTCGGACCTCAAACTCAGCTTGATACCAAAAGACCACAACAGGAACAGAGACGAGAATAGGTACTTAAAATGCGAAAGCGGTTAGCGCCGATGTGTTCATGGTCCCTTTGTTTTGCTGGATAATTAACCAGCGTGAAGTTGGTTACTTATTCAATATTGGGCTAGCC